ATTATTTTATTATGCTTCTTGATAAAATCTTTTCTTGTGGCTTATGGTAATTCGAAAACCACAAAAAAAAAAAAAACCGCATATATATTGCATTAATAATTTTAATAAAAATCAAGTGCTTAGTTTATATACATTTATTTTTTAATTAAAATATTTGATGTTTTCAGTTTTATAAAAATAGAGCCTTCTAATTTATACGACTCCGTAGAAAAGTATGATGAAAAAAAAATTGAATTATCAAACAAAAACAATGATATTAGCCAAACTGAAACTGATTCTTCCTTATCGAGTCAACAGCAAATCAAAACAAAAAAATGGGAATCAAAGGAAACTTTATCTGAGGTATAAAACACATTTTGTATATATATGATCATTTTACTTTTTTTTCTTAATGGAAAATTAACAGAAATATTTCCGTTAAAAATATTGTAAATGTAGGTTTTTTTATGAATTCAATGTAAGCATCAGAGTTTAAATAGTCATTTTAGACATGATGTGATTTTTTTTGTATTTATTATATACATACACATATCTTGTGTGTGTGTGTGTGCATAATTTTATGCTTATTTTAGTTAAAAGATTTTAAAATTGAAAATAATTCTAATGATTCACTAAAGGATATAAATTTGACTGAACATTTGGTTAAGGATAACATGTCGATGACAAATCAACAGGAGTCATCAATGGCTGAAGAAATATTGATTTCACCTTTGAAAAGTTCCGTTTCCGAAGTAGAAAAATTGGTTCGAGCAGGTAATCATTTTAAATAAAAAAAAATTTAGGTTAAAGTTTTTTTTTTTTTTTTTATGGTTCCAAAAAAAAGATACGTTTTTCTGTTAAAGTTTGGCCTGAAGACGAATACATTGTAGAATATTCACTTGAGTATGGATTTCTTCGCCTTTCTCCAGCAACTAGATCCAGATTGAATATTCCAGTAAAAATAGTTACTCTCGATCCAAATCACGATAAATGTTTCGGCGACACTTTTAGTCGTTTCATTTTGGATGGATTTCTCGGATATGATGATGTGCTAATGGCCAGTATAAAAACTCTGGCTGAATCAGAAGATAACAAAGGATATTTAAGGTACAAATGTCACCTTTTGTTTTTTGTTAAGTCTTGTTAGTTTTATCAAATCATCAAAAATTAAAATTATATATTGTATGTGTATTAGAATTTTTAATTGAAAAAAAAAAATAATTTTTACAGAAATGTGGTCACAGGAGAGCATTATCGTTTCGTCAGCATGTGGATGGCTAGAAGCTCATATTTGGCGGCTTTTTTTATTATGATAGTTTTTGTAAGTAATTTTTGTTTCCAGAAATTTTATATAATTTTCCTTTGATAATAAAAAAAAATTTCTTTGATATTCTTTAATTTAAAGTGTTCAATGAATTTGAGTATTTTTGTAAGAAAAGTTTTTTATTATATTTTCAAAATTAGATTTAATTAGAAATCAAATTCAAAAGAATTTCCTTTTTTTTTTTTTTTTTTTTTTTTTTTGTGAAAAGAAAGAGAATAATAAAATTGTAATTATTGAATTTGTCTTTGATGAATAAAAATGAAAATAAAAAGAATAATTTTTTTTTTTTTTTTAAATTTTTTCTAGAATTTATAAATTGATATTTGAACTTGATACTATTAAATAATAAATAAATAAATAAATAATTAAATTTTTATTTTTCAGACTATTTCCATTTCAATGCTTTTAAGGTATTCTCATCATCAAATATTTGTTTTTATCGGTAAGAAGACATTTTTTTTTTTTTTGCTTTTACATGAGTTTTAAAAAAAAAATGTATGCTAGTGTCTAGTAGTTTATATAAAATTACATCATTTAATTTTTTATTGTCAATTTCAGTTGATCTTCTACAGATGCTGGAATTTAATGGTACAATTAGTTTTCCTGCCGGTCCACTTCTTACTGTTATTCTCGCTCTAGTCGGTATGTTTTGTCATTATTATTATTTATCAAAATAAATAATTTACAGGTTTGATAAATTCATTTTTTTTTTTTAAGGTATGGAAGCCATAATGAGTGAGTTTTTCAACGACACCACTACAGCTTTTTATATTATTTTAATTGTATGGTTTGCTGATCAATATGATGCAATTTGTTGTTTAACTGCAATAACAAAACGACATTGGTTGAGGTATGTGTGTCGTTAATTAATTATAAACAAGTCTTTCTCTTTTTATTTAAAATAATTTTCTTTAACTTTTTTTTCAGGTTTTTCTATCTGTACCATTTTTCTTTTTATGCCTATCATTATCGTTTCAACGGTCAATATAGCGGTTTGGCATTGGTCACATCATGGCTGTTCATTCAGGTACATTTTAATTTTTTTTGTACTATTTTTTTGAAGAGAATTTTTTTCGAGAGGGTAATTTAGTTTTATTTTCTATAAAAAAAAAAAAAAAAAAATAATTATTTTTAGCATTCCATGCTGTATTTTTTTCATCATTACGAACTTCCATTAATTCTTCAACAAGCTCACTTGCAACAAATATTATTAAGAAATTCATCGGGTACGGGAACCCCCACTGTTGGCATAGACGTCACTTCACCCTCGAACGAAGGGTTTACAAATGAAAATCGAAATTCGAATTTCCGTCGAATGGTTCGAACGGAAGGATTAGAATTAGTTATACAACAGGTATTAGCTCAAGAGAGAGAGCCAGTCAACGAGGGGGAATTACCCTCGGAACCAGAACTTTCCCCTACTACTACTACTACTAATAATAATAATAATAGTGAGGAAAATCGGACCCAGGAGGTAAGTGATTCAACACGAAATGGTTTCTGGAACACGGAGGGAAGTGAAACCACCACCACCACTACTACTACTACATCTAACACATCACTAAGAATTAATAATAGTGGATTAAGAGAACGTTCTATTGCCGATAATACGAATAATTCTGAAAATCGAGATTTAAGTTAAATGTATTTATAAAATTATTCGAGTGATTAATTGTTAATTGTTTTCTATTTTTTTTTTTTTTCTTCTCAATTTTAAAATATATATATATTTAAACTAAAAGTGATTACAGTAAAAGGTTTAATAAATGAAAATGTAATTATTATAATTTTTTTAAATATTTTATTATTATTATTATTATTATTTATCCTCTATCCTATTATTATTATTATTATTATTTTTTCATATTGTTTGTAAATAACGATTGTTACCATGTAATTAAATACATACCAATCATTTCATTAATATTATATTTTTACAATTAATTATTATTTATTTTGCTGTTATTTGTTGTAAATTAATAATTTTTACCTAAAAATTACGGATAAATAATTTAGTTTTTTGGTCGAAGTAAAATAAAAAAAAAAAAAAAGAAAGGAAATATTATTATTATTATAATTGAATAAAAATTGTAAAAATTTT